ATCCCCATCTCCCCCTCCCCCAATTGTGTTTTGCACGATTTTTCGTGCAAAACACAGTTGGGGGAGGGGGAGATGGGGATAGATTTTTCGGTTCCGGATGAACAGAAAGATTAGTCGGTCTAGGCGAGTGTCGGAAGCTACGACTGATAAGGGATACTTGCCACTTTATCTCCTGCGCCCGTACCTGCAATGCTGCACCTATACTATTGAGAACAACTCCACTTTTCATGCCTTCCCAAAGTAAAGACTCCTATCACATAAAAATAGCGCTAAGCCTTTGAAGGAAAAGTGTAGAAAACAAAAAATCTCAAGGAAAAGGAAGCTTTCTCACTTGAATTTCCTCGAGCTTTTTAGTCCAATCGTCAACTAGAAGACTATCGTCCACAGTCCAGATCCACTCATTCATTCGATAGAGAAGTCGCCGCATTGGAGTGGTACCAGGTGCATACTTAAAACGTAGCAATACTTCATGGAAGAAACAAAAGTAGATCATCTTTCCAACCTTGGACAGTGTTCGCATCCAGTTCTTCAAAGCTGCAAGAGCTACACCGTCGATAATTGCACGTCGGGGGATTTCCTGACAAGTATTAGGTTCTTAGTAAAATGCAAATTACAAAAAGCTCTTAACCACCTTGAATAACATATAACTGAGCGTGCTCTTCAGGTCAACAAGCTGCACTTGATATTGCGTCATATCCACATTAGCGACTGGTGCTGGTGCTTGAGGCTCTACGACAACAGGCTGAAGAAAAAACATTTCGAAAGAAGTAAGGGTACTTAAGAAAGCGAAATTTACCTTTTCAGCAGCTGAAGTGATTCCAACGAACTCGCTAATCTTCAAATGAGCGTCCAACCATGTCATTTCTTCTCTGAATAAGGTAATGATATAGTATGACTGCCAATATAATGCTCTGTGAAAAGAGCGCAACAGTACTACGGGCTAATCAGTTCACTGATGCTAACAATACAATACACTACCGTATGAATCACAGGCTGATAAAAATCGGTGTGAAGGAAAGCGAAGATGTGTTCTTATTTGATAAACCTCCCTCGCAAGTAACAGAACCAATAGTAAGGGTATGCGACAAGACGACTGCAATTCGTCGCGCTGGTGGGCGCCGCGCGCATGATCACATTCTCATTATCCACTAATTTACGGGAGACGGACAAGATGAGCGGCACTCGTCGCGTCGTCGCGCGCGGCGCATCGTGCGGCTATGTGCGGCAAGTTCTCGACGTGTATTTGCGCGTTAATTAGAGCAACGAAGATCACATAATTCAAGTAAAAACAAGACTCCGTGATGGGCGATAGCGAGTTTACCTGTCCTTCCAAACGGAATCCGAACAGAAGGGCAGAACAACGACTGTCGCGCGGCGTCGCTCCACGTCCACTAGCGCGGCATTTTACGATTGTCTTGCCCCATACCTCTAACTAACATGGAGAAAATCATTGAGCACTCACGGACTGATCCAGAGCGGGGCAGATACACCGCGTTTGAATAGAAGGACCTTGCCATTTGCTTCAGTACCGAGATGTTTGATAACTTCCGGGTGTTGCGGTCGAGCCAAGACCGCCTTCACATTTCGATCGTTGTGGAAGTTGATGATTAACTGGAAACATACTTTACAGCAGTTGCGATAACAAAGTAAGCATTAACGGGTGCATAAGTACGGAGGTGCACGCATATTTTTGAACGGCTTCGGAACTTTGGTTGTTTCTTTCGGGTTTAATAACCTTTTCAGTAGCATATCACCGCGCATCTGCCGGGAGAGAAGTGCTTTAATTGAAACGGAGAGAACGGACGGAGACCGCCGCTACTTTACGACCACTGCGATATCTTCATCATCTCCCACGTCCCATTTCAACAAAACTCAAGGAGGCAAACTTAAACGTTTCTTACAGTGATGTTCGGTTGGAAGCAGTGAGGGACGAGGGCACTTTGCACTTTCGCTGCTCCACTAGGTTTTTTTGCACATCTGACTCCGGTGAAACGTGAACTTCTGTGAAGCTGGAGCAAGCTCGTCCAGCCACCATGGTAGAACCTGTCAACTCTTGTAAGCTCATGAAACGGCTCTTTACGCGGCTGAGGAGCAGTAGCAGAAGTGCAAATTGCCCCTTCCCGTCGCCGAGCTGAGCCTTGAACTGCTGCGAAGTTCATGCCCAAAACTGTGACAGCAGCCGGAATCCGGGATGTTCCGCGGGAAAGTAAAAATGTTTCCATTGGACAGAGCTATAATTCTTCCACAGCAGGAACTGACTCGATCCAAACTCAATTGCGGAGGAGTTCCCTCTATCAAAAATATCATTGATCCACAGCGATCATGACCCCGCCCCCCGAATTCAGTAGCCAGCATCAAATAAAATGAAACAAAGAGAATTAAATAAGATATGTCACCCGTCAATACTTGCTGGAAACAAATTTATACAAAAAGAACATCTGGAAAAGGGGCTAGTTTTCAGGATAAGGCGTTCAGACTTAGCGATGACGCGCGTCAGCTCGCTGTAATGCGCGCGATGCGCTATGTCAGCAATGGCGCTCCGGTGTCACAGACGGCAACGCAGCCAGATAGGTCCATTGACATCGGCCGCTGTTGCTTTGGAAGAGTATAGGAGAATAGGTGGGTAGGGTGTGTGAAGGCAGCTCCTATCCTCCTGCTACCTTATACTTTAGGAAACACAAGAGGCCGGCGCTGATCGATACTGTCCGCGGCTGGGTACTACGAGCACCATGATAGTGTTAACGTGCCGACGCCTATCATGACGAAATCTAAGCGTTGCCTTACTTGAGACAGAATCGTTTGACGTTAACGGGAAAACTGTTCTCATTAGGCATCAGAACGTAATCACAAACGGAACATACCGCCCAAGCCTTCAGCGCTGGATTCTCCTGGACAGCAACAGCGAGGAAATTCACTGACCCAGCAGTTGCCCAGACGTCCTCCAATGATTTCGAACTGTAAAAGGAAATGCTGTGAAAAAGGTTATGTATAATTGACATATAATTGAAATGACAGAAAGAAAGAAAGAAAGACAATAAAAGAACTTTGGCGCAATATACCTGTCGATAGGTAGGAATATCTCTGAGTTCTGATTCTTCTCTCGCTCATGGTCAGCCTCAATGTAAGCAGCGAGATCAAGTTCCATTTGTGGAAGTTCATACTTATTGCCTTGGTACAACATGGCGTCATTCTTGCTTGTTGCACCTCGTTTGAAAAACTGAAAATGCCAAGTGGCGTTGCAGAGAATATGGAAAAAGCGAATGTATGGAAATGACTATTCATATGAAAAAGATGCTACACTTCTGGAATCTTCTGCATAACTCGCGCAAACTTCCCACTGGTTCAGACCACCGAAAAATCTTCATAATGAGCAGTTCGAAAGCATTGAAAGGTTCAGTCACAAGAGTAGGAGGCCACAGAGCACCTTCTCAATGAGGACATCATAGAAGAATCGATAAACCCTCCATAAGTTCTTTATTCGCACTGACGGAAGGGCACCACAGCATCACAAAAATGGCCGCGTAAGGCGAGAACCCTGGAGGCTGGATGGACTGATCGAGAGATTAGCCGCAAACCAATCTAGATTCAAATACTCAATAAACAATTATAAAAAGCAAGGAAACTCATTTCAACGCCCCGGTTATTTGTGAAACCAGTTCAGAAGGAACCATCAGAAGAGTTTGGGCTTGGTGATAGAATATGCTACTGGGGTGTGTGGCGATTCTATCGTCGATGATAAGTAGGTCGCCGCGCTGGTGGGCGCCGCGTACGAGTCCTGCTGCGTCGTGCTCGTTGAAATTGTTAAAATGATCATCAAGCCATATTGTTTATGTTAATCCTGTACTGCTTTTCCCATTTTCCTATGATGATCAATGATTGTTTTTCCGCATTCAAAAGTAAAGGGGTGTAAGACTGGTCCCACGTTATTTGCTCAAAATTACTGATCCAATTTTGGGCTTTTCGGAACTTGTGAATACGCGGTCTTCGAGACTCATTTGTATGTCGGTAATGCAACTCCGG